GATGAAATTCACGGTTCGAGACTGCGACCCCAACACTGGCGTGCCTGATGACGACGGTTATGACGATGAATACGTGGTAAGCCCCGAGGAGTTCTGCTGTGAGCTGGGGCAAGGTTTTGATCGCCCAGTTGCAGCCACCCTCTTGACTTCTTTGACATCCCCCTGCCAGACACTCCTGATCGCGCCACTTTCCCTTTGGCGGAGATTCTGGGGTTGGCAAGAGAGGGAGCAGAAAGGCAGGGCCTGCTTCGTGCTCGGCTGGTGCTCTCTTGGCTCCATGATTCCAGAGCCTGCCGGCTGCATCTCAGGCTACCATTGCATGCGCTGTGCTGTGTGCTGCGCCTCCCGCTGCAGTTCCGATCCCGCCCTCTCATGCAGCGCTCTGTGTGGTTCCCTTCAACAGCTGGAAGATCTGGAACTGACTCTCTCTGACCACATCCAGAGAATCCTGAAGCCCAACTTCGCAGCAGCCTGGGAGGAAGTGGGGGATGACTATGAGAAGGAGGAAACCTTCGCTCTCAGCACCATTAAAAGCTTGGATGGTGAGATGATGGCTGCTGGCCTTTCATTTTTTTTATAAACCAGGGATGAATTTCAGGGAAGACAGCATAGCCAAGTCTGCACATTAAACCATTTTTGAAACACGACGGGATTCTTGGTTGTCCTAGAGCGCAGCCTAGAGAATCTTATCTCCAAAATAGTCAGGAGACGCCCGAATGCAATGCACTCTCTGCTGTCTGGAGATAAAGGAAGTCCAAGATGGCGCTTGTAGCTCCCAGCAGGGAATGGGGTGTCTCTACCTGCCCGCACAGTGCAGGCATCTTGCTTGCCAGGGGCTGCTTGGAAAATCCTACAAAAACTCTTTGGAGTTCCTGTGGATTGAACTGTGTCCATGGAACAGTTCAGGACTAATCCCAGCTCTTTTCGAAATCCTCTGAATGTAGAAGCTGTGAACAACATTGTGAAGTTTCTTGGCATGCAGCCCTGCGAGAGATCGGATAAAGTGCCTGAGAACAAGAATTCCCACACCCTCTATTTGGCTGGTAAGAACCTGTCGGGAAGGTGGGGTCATGACATTAAAGCCTCCTGTAGCTACGGCTGGGTTCCGGTGAAAGAAGTGCCTCCTCCTCGACACACACACGCACACACATCCTGGCCACGAAAGGAGAGGAGGCCCCACCAGTCCCCATCTTCAGTGGAGCTTTGGAGTTAGAACTGAAGGTAACCCCCGCTCACCCCTCGGGGATCACACCCACCTTGAAGATGTTGTGCGATGGGAAACCAAGGTTGCTGATCAGTTGGAGAGCTTTTCTCTGACCTTGTCTAATCGAGTTTGACTCCAGTTTACACTAGTGTTTTATTCTGCTAACACCAGGAGCAGGATGGAATGAAATCTGACATTGAAATGAGAGTTAGAATTTCACGCCTGGTCACTAGAAGATCAGTTATGGAGTTCTTCTAACTGCTTGTTTTTCTCTTTCTTCACTCCTTTTTTGTGGGGAGGGGGAGGGAAACCTACCATTTTTTTCTCCTTACAGTTCTTAGCATGTTCTCATCACCACTTAAAAAGGGTCCCCCCACCCAGCTGAGTATTCATTCATTCATTCATTCATTCATTCATTCATTCATTCATTCATTCATTGACTTGTATGCCG